CACGCGAAACCCTCAATAGGGTGCCACACAACCAACACAAGATGAGGATCACACAAGCCACAAGCAATCTACTAGACTACATTTTGGCTCTCCGCCGAAGAAAGGTCAAGAACCCCTCACAATCACCACGATCGGAGCTAGAGACAAATCACCAACCTCCGCTCGATGATCCTTGCTGCTCCAAGCCATCTAGGTGGCAGCAACCACCAAGAGTAACGAGCGAATCCCGCTGCGAAACACGAACACCAAGTGCCTCTAGATGCAAACACTCAGGCAATGCACTTGGATTCACTCCCAATCTCACAAAGATGATGAATCAATGATGAAGATGAGTGGGAGGGCTTTGGCTAAGCTCACAAGGTTGTTATGTCAATGCAAATGGCCAAGAGTGTAAGTTAGAGCCAGCAATGGGGCTTAAATAGAATCCTCCACAAAATAGAGCCATTGTACCCCTTCACTAGGCACTGCTCGGAGTGACCGGACGCTCTGGTCAGATCAACTGGACGCAGGTCCCCAACGTCCGGTCACACGATGCACGCCATGTGTCCCCTGTTTCAAATGCTGATCGCCCGATCTCAACGGTCATTAGTATATTTAAGTTGTGACCGGACGCGCTGCTCGAAGTGATCGGACGCACCAACACCAGCGTCTGGTCGTTTCCAGTAAGGTTCCACTCGTGACCGGTCTCCGGTCGATCACGATCGGACACAGCATTAGCGTTCGGTCCTTCTCCTCTTCTCTATGCTGCCACGTCAGTGGCACCAGATGCACCCCTCCAGTGTCCGGTCACGAAGTGACCCAACGTCCGGTCAAAGACCGACGCCAGCGTCTTCACTGCTTCCACTGACCGGACGCTCCGGTATAGTTGAGGCCAGCGTTCGGTGCACTCTGTGAAACCCTGTCTTTTCTATATAGGGCGCCAGTGGCACCGTCGGACTGACACTCCGCCGGTGAAGTTTCGAACCCTTGCTCCCAAGTGCTAAACACAATGTGTATCACCTTTGTGCATGTGTGTTAGCATATTTTTACAAATATTTTCAAGGGTGTTAGCACTCCACTAGATCCTAAATTCATATGCAATGAGTTAGAGCATCTAGTGGCACTTTGATAACCGTATTTTGATACGAGTTTTACCCCTCTTAATAGTATGGCTATTGAACCTAAATGTGATCACACTCGCTAAGTGTCTTGATCACCGAAACAAAATGGCTCCTACCACTTATACCTTTGCCTTGAGCCTTTTTGTATTTCTTTCTTCTTTCCCAGTCCAAGCATTTGATCATCACCATGCCATCATCATCATCATGTCATGATCTTCATTTGCTTTACCACTTGGAGTAGTGCTACCTATCTCATAATCACTTTGATAAACTAGGTTAGCACTTAGGGTTTCATCAATTCACCAAAACCAAACTAGAGCTTTCAGAAGTGTTGCACAATCCTAAAGTTATCAGTTTGTAGCCAAATAATAATATTGATGCATATGATATACTATTTGTTTTACAATTGTGTTGATGGATTCCCTAATTCCCTGAGATAATAACGGTGGATTCATACGCCGTATATAAAAACATTCTCTGTTGTGTTTTCTCGGCTTTCTATGGTTCTAGTTGGCTTTTGTTTGAACAATGTTGCTTTGATAGACCTTTCAAAAAGTTTTGCACGAATCTTAAAGCAACCTAACAATTAGTAAAATTGTATTAGTTACTTTACCTATGGATCTTTAGCCCTATTTGTACCCAGACTGAGGTCGAACCATTGTTGATCCATGTAGAGAGCGTCAACTTCCAATTCATTTTGTAAGTGCGATGGTAGCACCTCACCAAGCAGACCACAAATCAGCCCGCTATAATGGCGCCGCTGAGGGGGAGGTGCATCTCCCTATGGCCAAGCATAGGGAGACCAACAATAGCATCTTGAAGTGACCTCATTCCTACCTATCTCGTTGTGGATACATAGAGCTTCCCTGTAGTGTTTATAATTTTCAAAACACTAAATTCTGAAGCATCTCTATTTTGCCTGAAGATCTATGGACACAACTTGTTGTTTAGCACTAGTATGGTAGATAGATCACATCCATGCCACCACCTCCCTCCAATGAACCGAAGGTATTGCACGTGGCCAATTTGGGCACCGACTTCACATCGACCTTGTCGCTAGATAGTTGGATCCTACAATGTAGGTATGATGGATGGCCACATCTAGTGACCCCAAGGAGGTGAAGCTGGAGGCAGTACTCTAGAAGAGGTGAAGGAGAATGATGGCATGTGGCATGATGTGGGTGAAGAAGACGAGGATTCACAACATAGATGTTGGTGGTTCACGAGCAGGATAGCATGACCTAGGCAGGGACGAGACAAGCAGTGGAGGAAGCAGAGGAGGTGAGGATTGGGGAGCTCTAGCAACACCAAGAAGATAGACATGTGGAGGAGTCTGGTATAGTCAATTACTTGGACACACACGGAGGACTTTCTTCTCACCGCGTGAAGCAAAAGTGATGGCCGTGTGGCCAACTAGACACCTAGAGAATCATGGGACACACGTCGTCCACCTTACTCGGTGTTGTGTCACAGGTCTTACTAATGGACATATACCCTTATGCTCAATTATTTAGACACACATGGAGAACTTTCTTCTCACAGCGTAAAGCAGTGCGACAGTCGTGCGACCGATTGGACGTCAGCATGGCTTGAGGGACACATGTCAGCCATGTAACCAGCGTTGCATCTCAAGTGCTGCTGATGGACATGGAACCTTTCCCCATTAAGGATTTACAAATGCTCTTAACAATGGAAATTCTAAGGCAAGCAAAAGGTTGTGGGCCGTGTATTGGAAGTGCATAACAAGCACCCTTGACGGCTGTAACCACTAATAAATAAGTCCATAACAGCTTCCACTCACTCATCGCTCAGTAATGATTACACCACTAGAATTTTGGTAGCAATTAAAACCTTTTAATATAAACCATGTATTGTATGCTCTATGGTACACAAATTAAAGAGTGGGCGTCCTTGTACATCTATATATGGAGTGATCTAGAATTCCCCAATGTCGATATGCAGCCCCGACTCTGTCCTGATTGCTCACGTCCGTCCAACGATCTAATATGAGTCCCAAAGATCTAATATGAGGGATAACAACGTGATGACTAATATGAGTCCCAAAGATCTAATATGAGGGATAACAACGTGATGACTATGTTCTTGTCCTCTATGGTTTTTGGATCCTTTTTGTTGCACGTTCTGTGTTAGTATATATGATGATCTTTATTCGCTTATATCATTAAATCTGTGACAGATAAATACATATGTGAGTATTACCGATGATGTACAAATATATTACAGGTCATCCCCAACTAATGGATGCAAGGAGTTCTATTGCCGCAGCCGACAACTCCATAACAGTACAAGGACGGAATGTATATTTGATATTTTGCGCTAAACCACTTGCAATTACTTTGGTACATCTCAGACGTGCTACTGTTGCCCGAACGATGCACATCGAGAGTATTTCCACTTGGCATTGGCAGAGTGTAGGGACCATTGCGCCTCGTGCAGACCCAAATGCTCGTAGAACCAACAGTGATGGAAGGCCGGCCGTTGGATGCAACAATTAGTACTCTACATTATATATAGGAAAGTTTGTGCAATCCTGAAGTCCTCAGCTAAACAATAACGCTATGCATATGATATAACATTTGTTTTACATGTGCTGATGATTTCCATTTGATATAATTAATGGAATCGTTTGTTGTATATACAAGCAATCTCTCTTGTGTTTCCTCCGTCTTTTTTGCGATGAAAGAAGAATTATATTAGATAATAGTTGGGTACATCAACACGTTACAAACACGCTGGATTACACTATAAATATACAGAAACTAATTTTCATTGAAATTGTACCACGCTGTGAAAAGCTCCGGATCTCAAAACCAAACCTGTACGACGCTTTACATTATGGATGACTACATAGGCAAACACTCGGTAAAAGACCTAAGAACATATACCCAACGAACGACGGCCAACATTCATGCAGGCGGAGTTGAGAAACTTCTTCTTTTGGTGTCTTCCTTCCTCTTCTTTCTACCACCGAAGAACGAGAAAGACTGATCTGAAACTTATTCTCCCTAGCCTTTCATCGTGGCCAGATCTAACCACAATAAAAAGCGGAGAAGAGACCGGAGAAAATTATTCCATGGCGGCGACACCATCTCCGCCTTGATGTCGTCGTCCGAAAATAAAAGTCTCCATGTCGTCGTACTGGTACGGTGGAGATGCTGATATCGTAGTTGTCGCCTTTATCTTCAACAGAGCTACCATGGAGAAAACGATTCCACCCTGCCCCATCGCCATCGCCGGAGAGGAGATAAATCTCAATACCAAAAACTTGGCATGGAGAAATTCCAACCCTAAGGACTCGATCTACTGGAAACACTTATAAAAACCGATGGATCCCCACTCCCTTCGGCCTCCGGCGATATGCCGGAGGGGGAGTGAGGGGACCAAGTGGTGGTGAAGGCAGAGGGAGGCGGCGGCGCTCCGAGGCACGAGACGCGAGGACTAGTCTTTCCTCCGCCTTTCTATGATTCCAATTAGCTTATGTCTGAATGTTGCTCTGATTGACCTTCCAAGAAAAGTTTGCATGAATCTTGAAATAACCTAAGAGTGAATTAATAAAATTGTTCTGAATTAATTTACCCACGGATCTGAGCCCTACCCATACCCATACTGAGCCCGACCCTTTGGCCATCCAGGTGGAGAGCGTTGACTTCCAATTCGTTTTGCAAGCGCGGTGGCAGCACCTCACCAAGCAGAGTGTTTGCAGTTTTCAGAACACTAAACTTTGAAGTGTCTCTAGTTTCATTATATAATTATATTTATTAAACAAATGCTTTATAACACACAAAAAACAAGTTTATGACAAATACAAAAACCGTAGGAGAAATACAAAACCGGCACATACGCATGAGCAAGTCCGAAAAGGTGCTGGGTGTACCCTACCTAGCCAGCGAGAGTGAAATTGAAGTTACTGCACGTCGTCTGCCTTCCGAAGGGCAGGCCACTGAAGCCGAGCTGTCCCTTCTCCTCATCGAACATCAGCAGGTTGTTCTCCATCTGGAACCCTCCGATGACCATCGCCTGCGCCGAGGCCGGCGCCGCCGCACCGTCGCCGTAGCCATGTCCTCCCTCCTGCTTCTCCTCCTTCATCTCGAGGAACGCGAAGCACGTGGTGTTGTCGCTGACATGCACCATGGAGTTGCTGCCGAACACCGTCCAGGTGGCGCCGCTCTCGAGCATCAGGTCCACCTGCGGCACGGCGTAGCCGAGCGGCGTCGACCCGAGCTCTCGCGAGTCGTAGCACAGCTCGAACGGCGGCGTCGGCGAGGCCACCCGCTTCCTCCCGGCCGTGGCCGCGTCGAACGCCCTCACGGACGGCGCGTACACGTCCGGCCGGAGCACCGTGTAGGGGATGCGCGAGCACAGCGCGATGTCTAGCGGGCCCTGCTGCACCTGCGCCTGGTTCACGGCGATGCCCTTGGCCGACAGTCCGACACGAAGTAGCCGGGGACCCAGGGGTTCCCGTGGAGCGGTGTGGTGCCCGCCAGCGTCGGCGAATGTTTTGATATACCCAAGGTGTCATGTACCCATACCTTCCAACGGTTCTGATTTAAAGAGTTAAACTTGGATGCCCGCCGCGTGTCCTCAACTTATCTAGCTTAGCATTTACTAAACCAAATAAGCACTGGTGACGTGGCTATGCGAAAACCCGTGTGGCGGGATGTGGGTGCGCCATTCGAAATTTCTATTTCAACAGGCCAACTCTGCTGTTCCGCCTTATATAAGCTTACTCCCGAAGCTTACTGTGTTCATTCATCTCCTTCCTTCGATCTGAAGAGTCAGATCCATATCATCGCCTCATACATGAGTTCTAGTGCAGACCAGATGGCAGTATGTGCCGGCGAATCACAACCGGTTCGCCATTCGTTAACCCGGTTGGAACAGATGAGTCAGATGCAGAGTGTTCTTGATTTGCAAATCGCAGGTAAAGAAGAATTTCGCCGATCTCGAATTCGTATGGATTGACATCATCTAATGATTCCGCCATTCTTTATGTGCTTTGTTTTCTTTACATTCTGCTCCAGCATTGATCCAACTCATGGAAAATCCCAATCTGCTCAAGAGGTAACCAAATGAAGACCAACAATTACATAATCTTTTCCATTGATTTCTACTCCTCGCGCGCTATTCAGCATCATTCCAGTAGAAACCAGTCTCTATGTTTCTTTTTTACTTTGATTTCAATCATCAGCTCGATGTGGCACACTTCGTACTTTTAGGGGCCGTTTTTCAAAGTTTGGTTAGTGATGCTATTTATTGTATTGAGTTTTCAAGGTATACATCTGTTTTCCAAGATGAATATTTTTTATTTTGAACACACCAATCCGTGCTCAGGTTGGGTATAGGGCTGAAAATTCCAAATGTTGGTTTGCGAATCGCAACTTTTCGCCAACTTCCCCTATAACCCTCAAGCCAGATGAGCTGATTTTCGCAAATTATCATTCAACTCTCGCGGCAAACAACACATATCTGGCTTCGAATTTTTCTTGTACATTTTCAGTTTTGCCTGGATGGTATATATCTTGTTCAATTTTAGATTCTGCTCCAGCATCGATCCCTGAAGCCAGGATTTCCCAGTCATGGAAGAAAGTGATATTACTCAGGCTATGCGAACGTCCTCCAGTCGCTCTGGTGAGCCTGTTTTCCTACCTGCTGTTGGCATGGAGTTCGACTCCGCAAAAGAAGCAAAAGACTTCTGCAACCTATATTCATGGGAAATTGGATTTGGCATTAGAAAAGGTCGAAACAGAGTGAATGACAACAATTACACAACGAGGCAGGATTTCGTACGCTCATGTGAGGTATTTTTAGTACGGACTACATAACATTTACCATTTTATTATTTAAAAATGAAATGGAAGTTGTCCTGAGTATTTTTTTCCTAACTGCTATCTCAGGGCCTCTGTCCTAACAGCAGGGCTGCAACCTGCAGGACTGGCTGCAAAGCCATGATCAGGCTTCATCGCACCAGTGATCATGGATGGGTTATTTCTCGGCTTCACCTGCAACACAATCATCCTTGTTCTGCTACCCATGGGCAGAACAAACAGTGGCTCTCACACAGCGACATTGGTCCTATGACCAAGGATGTTGTTCAGAAGCTCCGTGAAAATAATATTCCTATAGGGAGGGTTTGCAGCATTCTAGGGGTTGACGGTACTCAATCAACAATTCCTATAAGGAAAGAGGCGGTAAGATCTCTTTGCGCTAGAATTGCCCAGGATAATATTAAGGACGACATAGGGAAGACATTGGGCCTTCTTGAGCAGATGAAAAGGAATGATGTTGGCATGGAAATCAGCTTTAAAATTGATGAAGATGGTAAGATTAAATTGATGCTCTGGTGCACTGGAAAGAACAGGGCTGACTACGCAAAGTTCGGTGATGTGGTGACATTTGATACTACCTAACGCACGAATTTATATAACCTCCCATTTGGACTTTTTGTTGGTGTTAATAACCACTTTCAGTCCATTGTGTTTGGTGGGGTATTGCTGACAACTGAGAAGGTTGAGGATTTTGAGTGGGCTTTCAGCAAGTTTGTAGAAATAATGGGTGGCAAGGAACCCCACACTATACTCACAGGTTGCTCTTCCGAATCTCGTCATATGTGATTTAATGTCCTTTTTTCTATGTCTTTTTTCATGTCACATCTTCCCCATTTGTTTTTTGTGAATTTTAATGTAGTCTATTTACATTTTCAGATCAGTGCCAAGAGATGGCTGCAGCCATAAAAACCACACTGAAGGCGACTAATCACCGGTGGTGTCGATGGCATGTTTTGAGGAAGACCAAGCAAAAAGTTGGTCCTACCTACAGCAAGAAAATTAACTTTAAGAAAGAATTCAACAAACTTGTCACCGAAGAAACAATGGTACTTAGGTTTGAAAGGAAGTGGAGGCAGCTAATATGCAAGTACAATCTCGTTGACAATAAGTTCATGAAGAGAATATTCAAGCACAGGGCTAAGTGGGCCAAGCGCCCAAGCCATATTTTATGGATATATTTTGTGCTGGTATGACTAGCACTCAAAGGAGAGAGTGCAAACCACCTGTTAAAGCAATTCATACAGAGGTCTGCACCGATGCATATATTTGTTCGAAAGTTCAATGAGTTCCAAATGGACCGGAACGATCAAGAAGAGAAGGAGGTTTATCTCACCAAACAGGTTTGCACTGCATGTCCTTTTTTGAATTCTTTTTTGTTTTCACCATTAGAGAAATCCCAACTTTATAAATCAATGCTAAATGTAATTAAACATTCATTTTGGATCAGCAGATGCGTATGTAGGAAGTGTCGTGTTGGTGTGCCCATTGAGCGCCATGCTGAACTAATTTACACTAGGAGAATTTACGAGAAGTTCTATAATGAACTATATTATGCCGGTGGATATGCGATCAAAAGTAGGACTTCTGATGGTGTATTTGAAGTAGCTCACTCATTGTTCGATGGCAATGCTGATCAGATTTTCTATAAGGTTGTATATGTTGGTGGTGAGAAGATCACATGCCAGTGCGGGCTTTATGAACATCTGGGTTTGTTGTGCAGGCATTCGCTTAAGGTATGATTCATGGCTCATCTCGTGTACCTTTTTTGTCTTTTTGTTTTTCCTTACCATACTTTCTATTGTAAATTGTATCATTATTTCCTTTTCTACAGGTTCTTGTATACTTGGACGTCAAAGAGATACCCAAGAACAATATCATGCCTCGTTGGATGAAGGATGGAGATGAAAGTGCTGACCACAGTAATGTCAAGACTGGCTTTGACGTAATTCGGGGGTCAAGTGACGTCCTAAAGAAAAGGGCTCTAGTCAACCGAGTGCTCGAGGTTGCGTATGGACCAAATACTATTAGTGAAGAAGTCTATGCTCAAGCCATGGGAGTGATGGATTTGGTTAGGTCACAATCTTCAATGCTGCAACCATTGGTTGATCAACCATTTCATGATCCCCGTATCAGTGCAGTTACATCAGCTTCTGCTATCGGTGCTCCAACCAATATTCGCTGTCCGGACAGACCAACAAAGAAGGGAAGACCTGCCAATTCTAGCCTTCAGTCATGGAAGGAAGAGTAGAAGAGAAACAATCGGCAGAGCACAGACGAAGAGAACCCGAGGGGTGTCAAGACTCGGTTGATCGCTGATGTACTTGCAGTCTAGGCACCCACATTCCCCTTTTTCACATTTTATTCCTACATGAGTCTCGATTATCATACTGCCCTGTTGGACAAATGACCTCTATTATGTTCCATTATGCATCGGCATTAGAGTTGCATTTTGGTTATAGACGCAGCGTTAACTGAATGAATGTACTGTCATATTATCAGTCTACGGAGTACTTTTGTTCAGTTCTGTTGACAACCAAAAATGTCCATTTTTGTGAAGTTGTCAAAATGTGAAATGGACTTCACCATTGCGTTCCTCTCGTCGAGACAGTCAAAAAAAAATATGGAACGTCTAATTCGAAGTCCGGATGAAGAAGTTATGCCCTCGGAAAGATGCCTCGTTGTCGAGAGTTCCGACCCAAGTCGGGACTTCCGACTGTCGGAAGTTTCGACGGGTGTCAGGACTTTCGGGAAGCCTGAAGAAATCTGCTCGGGAATCTGGGGTTATCCCTACGTCGGAAGTTCTGACAAAAGTCGGAAGTTCCGACTGTCGGGAGTTCCGACCCAAATCGGGACTTTCAACATACCTAACAGAAAATCCTGTTCGGATCTGGCATTTTGGATTCCGATCCGAACTGTTCCAAACTCGTGGGAAACTTGGAAAATAAGGCTTGGAGAGGTTTTCTACTGGGATAAGACCACCCCCCTCTATATATATGAGAGGATTATGGCCGATTGAGTTCCTATCTATCCAATCGTCATACAAACCAATCTATCAACTCCTTATGCCCTAATTCCCCTCTCTCAACCCCTTTTGCTCTTCGTTGAGTTTCCCGGCGAGATTCAGCGGCATCCTAGGCGGCCTTGCTGGTCCTAGGAGATCCTCCACGTGCTCCTCCCTAACGGGTCTTCTCGGGAGAAGTTCGGGAGTTTTTTCGGCCAAGAACAGGCTCTACATCGGTCTCATCGATCTTTAGATTGGTTCGATCGATTATGCCGCGTTCTTACTGCATTGCAGGTTGTGTGCAGCCTCTTTGGGCGTCCAAGGCCCTGCTGGTGTGTTGGTTTGGGGTCATCCTCAACGTCAACATACTTTTTGGCGACTCTGCTAGGAAAAGCGAAGCGAATCAAGAATCAATCTACTAGTAACATGGGAGGCAACGATGGTGCTGCCACCGACAAGGGTGACAAGACCAGCCCCTTCAATGAGGCTAACATGATCTTTCCTCAATCCATGGACGAGCTTCCAGATGAGTTGCGCCAGAAGCTTAAGGCCAAGCTCGATGCCGATGTCAAGGCTTTCTTGGAGAGCTGCACCAAGAATCGGCACGACAAGGTCACTCGGTTCCGTGAACCCTCCTACGGCGATGCTACCGCTTCCGAATCTTCAGGCGCCGAGGAGAAGGGCAACAGAAAAGCTAAGTATGACAAGGAGGTAAATACTTATGCTTATCCTACTCATGCCAATTTTGCTCAGATGTTGATAGATGAAAGAAAATTATATAGTAATAACCTTCAGCATCTTTCTAATCTACTTCAAGCACGTATGGATAAATTTGAGGGCATGACAACCGATTATGATCAATCGGGTGTCGTGCAGCAACTTCAGTTCGGTATGCCTTTGAATTTTTATGAAAATCAAACCTCTCATGCTTCCGCTAGCCAATTTCAATCGGCCCCTTCGGCATCTGAAACCGATAAGGCCGATCAACCTGGTGCTAGCACATCTACACGTACAGGTGTTGGTGCACAAAGTTTGGGTCGAGCTCTTCGAACCGATTATGGAGTATCAACAAATAGAGCTTCAGCGGGGCATAATGTTTTATCAAACCCACCGAAGTCACCTAGTCAAATTCCTACATTTAATGTTACTCCTAATGCTCCTACTACCGATTTTTATGATGCTTTGAATCGGTTTAAGGATGAATTGGCTAAATCTCTTGAGAGTAGTTTAGGAGTGCAACTTAAATCTAGTAGGAATACTTATCAAAAACCGTACCCTTCTACTTATGATTTCATGAAAGCACCTGATGGGTAGAGGGTACCTGACTTTTAGAAATTTAGTGGTGATGATAGTAAATCAACCATGGAGCATATTAGCATGTTTCTTGCATAATTGGGTGAAGCTAGTGCTTATGATTTTATGAAAGTTCGTAATTTTCCTTTATCTCTTACTGGCACAGCTTTTGCATGGTTTATTTCATTACCATCTTGTTCTATTGGTTCATGGGCTGAATTAGAAGAGAAATTTTATAATCACTTTTATAGCGGTGCTCATGAAACAAGATTGTCTCATCTTGCATCGGTTCATCAAGGGCGTGATGAGTCCGTCCATGATTTTTTCAAACAATTTAGAGAGATTAAGAACCGATGTTTCCATTTAAATATTTTTAAAAGAGATTTAACCGATTTATGCTTTGCTGATTTACGTTCTAGTATTAGAGAAAAGCTTGAGCATTATGAGTTTCACAATGTTAATCAACTTATGCAAAAGGCCGTTTCAATTGAATCGCGCTTTAAAGAGTCTCGTGATGCATAATGTGCATTTTGTTGGTGATTGTTCTGATGATTCTGATGATAATAATAAAGAATGTTTAGCTGCTGAAATTAAATGGCCAGCAGAGAATAAATTGGTTACTTGTCATTCTCTCAAGCCGATTCATTAAAATCAGAATGAGAAAATGAAATTTACTTTTGATTTCTCTAAATGTTACCGAATCTTTGATAAATTGTTGAAATTTGGTTATATTAGAATCAATTATACATTACCTTCAGCTGATGAATTAAAGAGAAGGGCTTATTGTAAATATCATAATTCTTTTTCTCATGCCACTAATGATTGCAACGTTTTTCGTCGACAGGTCCAATCGGCCCTTAATGAGGGACGATTGAGTCTTACTAAAATGCAAGTTGATAAGACCCATTTTCCCATGCACATGGTTGAAGCAGAGGCGCCCGCTGTTTTGATTCGTCTAGATCAAGCCGATAAAGCCCAAGGCAAGAACGTGATTATCGACGAACCACGTGTAGCACCGAATGTCGAAACGAATTCAGGGCGCAAAGTGGTGCTTGAGAAGGATGATGAAGGAAAGAACAAGTTGAAGATCACCGCTGGATCAACGCAATATTTGAAAAGGCGGTGGTGGTATGAAACAACGGTGGCATAGCAGAGGCTGGCTAGGCCAACTCCACCAGTTGGCCAAGCCGACTCCAGTACATAGCAGGGCCAGTCGGCTCAACCGACTCAAGGAGTCGGCGTAGCTGACTCTGCCACCACCTCAGCCAAGTCAGCTGAGCCGACTGCGCCAGTCGGCTTAGCCAACTCTCCTGGTTCCAACAGCTCCGGCGCCTCCGGTGTTCGTGTTTTGCGTACATTTGTTCCACAGCGACCGGAGATTGGCACCTGAAAAACAAATGAGAAGAAGAACCAGGGAGAGTTCGTGAAGAAGCAATGCACCTTTGATAGGCTCATGGCCAAGTATAAGCAACAAAAGGCCGATTCCCAGAATCGACCGTTTAAAAAAAGAGAATCTACTCCACCTAAGCGGGAAGATGACAAGATCAAGCAATTGGTGGTGGTGCAACCAACAGCTCTGTCTCAGAGAGTTGTTCCTCGTGTTTCTCGCTGGGGTCCCCCGATTCCGCCTCCGGTTATACCGCAATGGGGTCCTTAAGGAGTTTGGGTGCCGTATCCTCCGGCAGTACCTGTGCATAGCCAACAAAGGTGGGGAGATCTTGTTGGTTCAATTCCAAGACCCTCCGTCTTTAGCCGATTGAATAATTGTCAATCGAGCTCTAGTGGTACAAGTCAAGATCGTGTGATTACCTCCAGGACTTTGACTCCACAAGAGTCGAAAAAGGCACCAATGCAGCAAGTTTATGTGCCTAAGAAGGTTGAGATTCCCATCGTTCCCCCACCAAGAGCTAGGCCTCAATCGGTTATCACAATCGGCTCCATGGAAGCTCCCATCACTAATCATGATGGGCCGATTGTAATCGAAGAAATTCCAGCATCTAAGCAAGATGAAGCTCCTAAAGATGTTTTTGGAGTTGAAGAGAAGAAACGCGTCGAAGGAGATTCCAAGCATCGGCAACCCGTATGGTGTCCTCGTGGGTTGAATAAAACTCAACGGCGCAAATTGCAGCGTGCCCGACATAAGCAACAGAAGAGGGAGAAGCTTGCCAAGATAGAGAATGAAATCCTCAACCCCGTACAGGTCGAAATCCCTCTGGAAGGTCAAAATGCCGCTACTGCTGCTGGCCAGTCGGCTAAGTCGACTCTAAAGTTGGCTAAGCGGACTCTATGTTGAGCCAGTCAGCTTAGCCGACTCCTAAGTTAGCTAAGCTGACTTTGCTTGCCCTTACTGCTTTGGAAGCTCTAGAGTCAGCTAAGTCGACTTCCGAGTCAGCTGAGCTGACTCCTGCTGTCCCGGGTGCCTCTGAGGTGTCCTCTGATGATTTCGCTACTACCGTTGCTACTCTGGTTGGCATGGAGGTTCCTAAGGTTCCCAATGAGGAGATGGTTGACTATGAGCCTACTTCAGAGAGAGTGGAGGTCAATGTAGTTGTTTTATCTGCTGATTACTACATCGTGGCAGATGACTCCATGGTGGCAGAATTTAATTTTGCAACGGAAAGCGCTGTATTTCAGAAACCAGATGACTCCATCAACCATCTCAAGCCTCTACATGTGAAGGGCCATATCAATGGCACACCGATCCATAGCATGTTAGTGGACAGTGGGGCGATAGTGAACTTGATGACGTATCCGCTTTACAAGAAGCTCGGTGGCACTGATGAGGAGCTGATCAAGACCAACATGACGATCAGCGGTGTCGGAGGAGGTGCTCCTATTCCGGCCAGAGGAGTTGCTAACATGGAGCTCACCATTGGAAGCAAGACTTTGGCCACGGCGTTCTTCGTCGCCAACGTGCAAGGTAGCTATAACTTGATACTTGGGCATGATTGGAT